CTTCATCTTATACCTTTACTCATCTTCACAATGTCAAGCTATTACAAACTTCATCTTATACCTTTACTCATCTTCACAATGTCAAGCTATTACAAACTACATCTTATACCTTTACTCATCTTTACAATGTCAAGCTATTACGAACTTTGTCTTATACCTTTACTCATCTTCACAATGTCAAGCTATTACAAACTTCATCTTATACCTTTACTCATCTTCACAATGTCAAGCTATTACTAACTTCATCTTATACCTTTACTCATCTTCACAATGTCAAGCTATTACTAACTTCATCTTATACCTTTACTCATCTTCACAATGTCAAGCTATTACTAACTTCATCTTATACCTTTACTCATCTTCACAATGTCAAGCTATTACAAACTTCATCTTCATAAGGTCAAGCTATTACAAACTTCATCTTCACAAGGTCAAGCTATTACAAACTTCATCTTTACAATGTCAAGCTATTACTAACTACATCTTCACAATGTCAAGCTATTACAAACTTCATCTTCACAATGTCAAGCTATTACTAACTCATCTTCACAATGTCAAGCTATTACACACTTCATCTTTACAATGTCAAGCTATTACTAACTACATCTTCACAATGTCAAGCTATTACAAACTACATCTTCACAATGTCAAGCTATTACAAACTTCATCTTCACAATGTCAAGCTATTACAAACTTCATCTTCATAAGTCAACTTCATGATTTCTGATCTTATATAGCATGGTTAGATTTACTATTTCTCTCCTTTCCTCTTGTTTGTTATTTGTAAACCAGTTAACAAGTTAATGTATATTTCCAGTGTTTTAAAACTGTAATCAATGTTTGTTGTAGATTCAGGAGGCTGTAAAAGAAGAAAATGTGGAGTTGACATCAGTTTTAACAACTCATCATCATTGGTAAACTTTAGACACTCTTTCTCCTTCACAAATTTTACTTTTATAGGGTCTGTAAATTAGTGTGAGTTTAGCAATGATATTTGTGTGCGCTGTAAAAATTGTTGCTCTTGTCTTTATTAAATGTGATGAAATTATTTCTGAAAGTCTTCAGAAGTCGCATGATTCCTTCAAAAATATCTTAAACTAGGAATTTTACTCACTATTTCTATATATGTCTTTTCTATATGGCAGTGTCTCAAGAAAAGACGACTTGTCATTTTAACATTCAAATGCAGATAATTCTGGACACACAAGGATTTGAAGGCTCAAATTTCGACACTGAGCTTTGAACACTATTACTGATTGACTTAGCTAAAAAATCCCTGTTTCTCAGACTATGGTAAGATTGGTACAATTTTGCAGCTGTCCCTTTAATAGTTATCGTGATAATTTGTGATATCATCTCTATTCTACATGTCATTATAAATATATTCTGTTTAAACAGGGATCATGCTGGAGGTAATGTGATATCATCTCTATTCTACATGTCATTATAAATATATTCTGTTTAAACAGGGATCATACTGGAGGTAATGTGATATCATCTCTATTCTACATGTCATTATAAATATATTCTGTTTAAACAGGGATCATGCTGGAGGTAATGTGATATCATCTCTATTCTACATGTCATTATAGATATATTCTGTTTAAACAGGGATCATGCTGGAGGAAATGACAAGTTGATAGAGTTGATGGGAAAGAAAACAGTCTATGGTGGTGATGATAGAATCGGTGCCCTGACAAATAAAGTTCAACATGGTGATAAATTTCAGGTGATTATATTTAGTTTCTTGGCAGTTGTAGGAAGTAGAATATCTCTACCTGAAATCTTTAAGCCACTCGGCATCACTTTTAGAGAGTTCACATAGTTAATATTGTGAACGTGGTATTAAGGAGAGTACCAAACAGAATTTTCACGCCATAATGTTTTGGGCAGACAAACTTTTTTGGCGTGAAATCATGTTCGTTAAAATTGCCAGTGAATTTTTACTAACATGGACAGATAAGCCAATTTGCCAGTGAATGGATCTGCTAGTGTAAATAATCGGCTATGAATATCTAATATATTAGATGCAGGCTATTCATACAGGCAGAATATAATATTGAAAAAGGATCAGCAGGTAGACCAAGAACTTCAAAAACTTATTATATAATGTGGGTATATATAGTTGTCTCCCCTGTCTGTCTATAGACGGGATCCGGATCTGTTTTTTTATTATTATTGCAGATAGGAGAACTAGATATAGAATGTTTATTTACACCATGCCATACCTCAGGACATATTTGTTATTTTGTAAATAATAAAGAGAAAACACAACCTGCCGTATTTACAGGTAGAGTTATCTCCCATTATTTTACACAAGAGTCCCAGACCACTGTTAATTTTTATAACCAGTTAACTTTGTAACTTGGAGGGAGACTTCTTGCAGCCCCTAGGCCACCAGACCCACCCGCCACAACCCTCTTCGCCCTCGGAGAGAGCCTTCATATTCCTCCCACCCCACTCTCACAGGTAATTTCTAGATATTCCCCCTGGTCATTTAACAGAATAGAAAATAGAAACTTTTGAGATGAAAATTTTGAATCTTTAGACATACTGC